ATGAGTCCGCAGGTGACCTGTTGCAAGACTAAATTTCTATTCCTATCCAATATACCCTCATTTCCCGTGGTTGTCTAAATTTCTCTGACCTAAATCCCGGACGCCTCTATTACAGAACCTACCTATTTTTTTTAGTTCTCGTCCTGAATATGCATGAAATATTTGCTACTGGACGCTAAGCAACCAACTATCAATCAATCAATATCTCATAAAAGGTCATTAACCAAAGTCAAGCCGATTCTACACGATTTGAGAGCCAAAATATTGCCTATGCTAAATAAGATAAAAGTCCAAGCCAGCCTATTCCCGCTTTAAAAATATTGTCGCGAAAGGAGATCCATTACCTTTCTATTTTTTACCTGATTTGTCCTTAAACTAATACTCTTCGGATTTATAGTACTAGTATCAATTTTAAGGATGTACTTAGGTGAGATTTTGGAATTTGTGTCAGATGTTCGGACTCCTTGTTTTTTTCCATACGATACAAGGTAAAATACACCCATCTATCTTTTCATACAAGACTTAATAGCTCATAAAAATTTAAGCAGATTCTTAATTTCTTTTCTTTTGATTTGAGACCCAAATAATACCAATACAAATATAAGGTAAAAGTCCGATTCAGCCTTTTCCCGTCATATTTTAAAAATCAAATATCTTGAAAAGGAGCTCCATGATCTATCAATATTTTTAGCTTATTTTGTTCCTTAACTAATGCTTTTTCGACAGTTTCAATTTTAAATTCTTGATTTTTTAAATTTCACCCAAGTACATCCTTAAATTCCAGATATTTGTTTAATTTCACCTAACTCCAGTATTCAAGATAAAAGATTTTAAAGCATAACGTATTGATATAATTGGCATGAGATGATGAGACTATGTTTTTAAAATATTAATTGCACGTAATTTGATGGCGTAAACCGCTTGCAATTGCTCCAGTGGTTCGTTTATTTTGAATTCTACTTGTGACCATGGACGTACGTCGTAAAGGAGCGATCATGCGATTAACTAAAGTTTATATGACTTTTCTTAAGAAGTAAATAATAAAGATATTGGATAAACGTCAATAACACAGTAACCCAACAACACTAAAAAGATCTACATACGGCCTAAAAATATGGATATTCGCCTCGGTTCTAGATAGGTTGTGAAGTAATACATTTTTGGGGGAAATGCTTTTCATCATTTTTCTTTCAAATTGTGCATTAATTGTAGTGATAAAAACTGGCGCAAAGTCAGTACATGGATTTACGATTTGCAGTGTCTTTCGCAAGTTCTAAAAATCAAATTGTTCACAGTGCTTTGAATGTCATGCCGCTTAATTCTTTGTCCGAAATTTCAATCCCATTCATGTAGCCATGAATTTTATTTTACAATAGTACAATTGAAAATATTGTCACTCATTCAGTTTGCTGTTTTAAGCATTACTATGATCGAAAACATTAGCATAGACATGCATGTATATTCATTCAACCAAAAGGAATGTTGAAATTTGAAAGTTACTCCTATATGATATGTATATATATATATATATATATATATTTGTAGATTGTAAAGATTGTAGTGCTATAAAAAGATAACTGAAAATTCATTATTCTCAACGTGTTCTTTTGTATGACGAAAAAATACCCTTTAAGTTACACTACGCATCTGATCGTTTATTCTGGCAAACACCTAATTATTTGTACATCCCGCACAGCCGAACGGACGATCTACTTTGACGAGGGTTTTACTACCGGTGGAAGGAAGACCAATGATGACCATACTTCTATTCCCCAATCACCCTTTGGGTATGCTATATTGAAGTCTAATATGCAATGAAAAGAGGGTGATACATGTATGGGGAAAATATTTTACCCTGTATTGTTAAAAAAAACAAGGAGTCCGAACAGTTGACACAAATTCCTAAACAGGAGATGACTACATTCTTACATGTATTTCTCTGTTTCTAGTTTCCGTTTCCTTTCCATATTCCTTTTCCACTTTTTAGAAACTCTCATTTTCAGAGGGTCATCAAGTTGGTTACTTATTCCTTATTCGTTTCTTATTCCTTATTCGTTACCTTACGCGCGGGTTATTTCACCTCTAAGAACCCATAGCTAACACCAGAGACATGAACAAATTTTAAAAGGTGCAACGTATTACACACGCATTACAAGCGAATAAGGAAAGAAAAGGTAACAACGTATCAGTCGAGAGCTGAAACTGGTACATACACACTAATAGGGTTATTTTACTTCTACGTGTAAGTACCCATAACTTAAAATAAAGACAAGAAAAAATTTACAACCATTTTTTAAAAGGTGCAAAGTATAACACACGTATTACAATCGAATAAGGGACTAATAACTAACAGGGTATCAGTCGAGCGCTGAAACGAGTACATACGCTCTAATAGGGTTATTTCACCTCTAAGAACTCATAGCTAACAGCAGAGACATGATAAAAATTGAAAAGAATTTATTTAAGAGGTGCAACGTATAACACACGCATTACACATGTTACAAGCGAATAAGGAACGAATAAGTAACAGGGTATCAGTCGAGCGCTAAAACGGTTACATATGCGCTGATAGGGTTATTTCACCTGCAAGAACCCATTGCTAACACAAGAGACAAGAAAAAAAAAAATTGTTTTTAAAAGGTGCAACGTATACCACATGTATTACAAGCGAATAAGGAACGATTAAGTAATAGAGTATCAGTCAAGCGGTGATACGGGCACATTCGTGCTAAAAGTGTAATTCACCTCTACACACAAAGAACTATCACCAGAGATAAGAAAGTAAAGCACGAAAAGAGAACTCATACTAAAATCGATTAAGTAATAAATAAGGAATAAGGAATAAGGAATAAGTAACGAATGTTTAACGAATAAGAAATAAGTAACGAATAAGGAATAAGTAACGAATAGGTAACGAATAAGGAATAAGTAACAAATAGGTAACGAATAACGAATAAGTAACGAACAGGTAACGAATAAGGATTAAGTAACGAATAGGAAACGAATAAGGAATAAGTAACGAATAAGGAATAAGTAACGAATAGGTAACGAATAAGGAATAAGTAGCGATTAGGTAACGAATAAGGAATAAGTAACGAATAGCTAACGAATAAGGTATAAGTAACGAATAAGTAACGAATAGGTAACCAATAAGGAATAAGTAACGAATAGAGATCGAATAAGGAAAAAGGATAATTAACGACTAAGTAATGAGAAATTAATAACCAACTAGACGACCCTCATTTAGAGCACTGTTTTACTTCAAATTCAGCATTTAACATTGTACGTGTTTTTTCGAGATCAAAAATATCATCAAGATAACGGTAAATGTTTTTAAATTTATCAATTAAATTTTCTTCAGACGGATCTTTTCTGAGATTGGCAATTAATGCTCTTATACAGTTGCAGAAAAAGGCTTTATATGAGTTACAGAAAATAAATCTGCAATCGTGAATCTAACCCAACATCAAAATAAAACCTTGTAAATAACCGATCAATTACTGAACCACACTGTGATATGATTCGCCTACCAGGTGAAATTACATTCAAGTTCATATAATCCAGCCTGTTTTATTTGTTGCGTGAACCCCTGAGGGTTCACGCATATTTATTAGTTAGAAATATAGTCTATGGAGGAATATTCGGAAGCTAAATTATTGTTCATTCGGAACAACTATTCATCTTATCTGTATTAGCTTCCTGCAATTAAGAGCACCTCCATACGGTGTATCTAAGATATTTAAAACATGGCAATAAAGAATTTTCGAAGATCGCTAATTCACTTATCTGATATATGATAATAAACAATCTATAGATCCTTTTCAAACATGTATATTTATTGTAAAGCTACATGTTATGCATTGCAAGGGTTTACTGACATGAGCAAAGTTGACAGTTGTACCCTTTGATAAACAACTGAAAGTTAAATGGTCAAGATTTAATTATAGCGACCTATGGTATCAAACATCTGTGTCTAGATATTCACAGAGAGATATTTTAATATAGTGCTGTGGTTTCTACATAATGAGTTATAGTGGGCTTTGGAATTTGATTTGTAACAACAAAATCATTATGCACACTTGTCATTTTGACAAATCAGATAAAAAAAATCTGTTTCAAATGAAAATAAAACAAGTAAAATAATGACTGTTCGTTAATATACATTTTTACAACTTTTAATGTTTCCTTTTTACAGTATTCTCTATCAATTAAGTTATCTTGTAAGTTAATTAAATGTTTATTTAATACATTGATGTCACTGTTAACTCAGTGACCGCTGCAGAAAGTCTTGACTCGTTCAAGAGACTACTGCATGCACATTAAATTCCAAGTCCCATGTTTTTATTTGCACCATGTATAAATGTTATGTACAGCACAAATTATTTCCTTTCTGTTAAAATTATTTTTGGACTTGTTAAGTATGCAAGCGCACACCAAACAGTGACAGGATAGTCAACCAAATGACGGTGGTCACTTCGTGGTAGAAGTAGAAATTTCTTATATTATTCACACACTGTAATGCTCTTAAATTTATGTGTGTTTTGGATGTGCACTTGTGATTGGTAAATATTGATACGTTTCTTTGTTTTTAATATATGTGACTTAACATCAAGAATTCCATTATTATGGAATCGTTCACTTTTGTACACTTCGGTATCTAAATAGAGGGTGGTAAAAGGGAGGGTCTGAACACGGAAACACGTGAAATAACAAATCGCGAAAACGTTGCACGAAAAAAAAACACTCTGGAAAAACGAGGCCAAGGAATAAGGGGGCTCGCGGGTTTAAATTTTCGCGCCCGTTGCGTCGATTGGTGCGCAGCCATTACGGTAATCGGTCGAACGTCGCAAAATATTTACTTTCTTCTCGATTAAAAAAAATATAAAAACACTAGCCATTTTTGTTCTAAGTTAGTGCTTTCTCGATTCATAATTCACATAAATTAAATTAAGGGCGGTATTTAAAACTACAAAGTCGACCTTTTTACGGTTTGTTGGCATCGAGATTGGCCATTTTGGAATCTCGGAAGAAACTTGCTTTCAATATTTTGACAAGTAACCAGCTTTTATATTTATACTAGAATGACTATCAATATTTGTTATAATTTATATTCATTTCGGTATATTTTTAAGCTGTCTTACTAATTTTCAACACGTAGATCCACCCAAAGAAAGAGATATCGTGGTGAGTATCTAAAAAGTACGTTCAGAATTAGTCACTGAAATATTGCAAATCCTTGAATGATGAAAAATTTTATAAAATCACGACAATCGTAAAATATTGTATCGTCTGCTGAACAATGTCTCAAAGGAACAAACAAGGAAAATTTTCAAAAAAGAAGAATTTAGAGAAAAACCAACGAATCCAAGGGCTAGTTTTTCACAGGAGTGGATTGCAATCGGTATCGGGTCCGTTCGCGCCCAATACACGTTCGCACCCTACTCGTTCGCACCCCACACGTTCGCCCCCTGGGTCCGTTCGCACCCTTTTTTTTTATTCAAAAACCCGATGAATTATAAGATGTTTTTTAAGATATTTATCTCAAAATAAAGAAAAATTCGGCAATTTTTGAATTTTTTAAATGAAATATTGTTTTAAATTGATTTGATGATTAATTATTTATGATTACTGTTAATTATATATGGTGTTTACACAGCTAAACTTGATGTAAATTCTGCATGTAGTTATATTAGCATGTATTTAACTTGGTATGAGTAAAAACAATTAAGATTCAAAATGTTATTGTTGTTGAGTTTAAAGCGGTTTGGTATCTTAACATTTAAATAATATTCAACACAAAAAACCTTTTTTAGAAAGTCACTTTATTTTGAAACAATGAAAAAAAAAATACAGCAATACACTTACCAAAACACGATTAAAAAGATATTCAACACAAAAAACGTCACTTTATTTTGCATGTTTTGAAACAATGAAAAAAAACTTATTTATAGCAATACAATAACCAAAACACGATTAAAAAATTATTCAACACAAAAGTCGTTTTTAGAAAGTCACTTCATTTTAAAACAATGAACAAAAAAAATATTTATAGCAATACACTAACCAAAATACGATTGAAAAATTATTTAAGACAAAATCAATAAAAAGGGTGCGAACGTGTAGGGTGCGAACGGACCCGGGGTGCGAACGTGAAAGGGGGCGAACGTGAATGGGCGCGAACGGACCCAGATTCATTGCAATCAGACAACCACAATATACCATCATTTGACTCAGTCCATTGTCAAAACTTAGAACCTGACCACCACGATATACCATCATTTGACTCAGTCCATTGTCAAAACGTAGAACCTGACCACCATGATATACCATCATTTGACTCAGTCCATTGTCAAAACTTAGAACCTGACCACTCATATGCCCAACTGAAAACCATTGAAACATCTGATTTGTGTAATGTTGCTTTTGAGTCTGTACCTGATATACAAGATCACGAAGTAGTGGTTGATGATGAATATAATATAAATGTTGATTTTGACTTGTTACCATTACCTTCTGATTTACTTCCCTTAAACCACTGTAGATATGTTGTCGAACTAGACTATATTGTTCAGCAGTTGAAACAATGTTCCAAATGTGAAGTCCCTTTACAATTACATAATTCGTTGGGAGTTAAACTTTATGGTGTTGCTGGTATTTTGTATATACAATGTACAGAATGTGGAGATATTGCTCGAATAAGATTAGGGAAGACACATCATGCAAATAGTAGTAGAAAAGGAGTTGGTACAATTTGATGTCAATACAAAATTAGCTGCAGGTAAACAAATGTTCTTTCAATTATGATAATGATATAGTTTGGTCAATATAAAAAATTGTACTACATATAAAAATAAGAAGATGTGGTATGATTGCCAATAAGACCACTTTCCAACAGAGATCAAATACATATGAGTTAACAGCTTTAGGTCACCGTCCAACCTTTAACAATGAGCAAAACCCATACCACATAGTCAGCTATAAAATGCCCCAAATGATAATTGTAAAACAATTCAAACAAAGAAACTAACAACAATTTTAGTACTTAACAATGAATGAAAAAACAAATATGTTACACAGCATTAAACTTCAATCACTAAATTACAGGCACCTGACTTGGGACAAGCACATACAGAATATGGAGGGGTTAAATTTTTTGCAGGTGCCCAACCTGGGACAGTGTTGTAACAGCGCAATATATGAACAAAATATAAAAATCAGTTGAAAAGGGTTTAATTATAACTCATCAGATCAATAAAAAGCAGAAAAACAAGTAATGAACACACAGACTTGGTGTGGCAGGTTATTTATACATTTATAAATATATGTATGTAATAAACTATGAAAAGTGCAGAAAATACTTAATACCGAGATTGGCCATGTTGGCTTAGTGGGCTGATACATGTACCTAAATATTAAAGATATTTTATCTAAAGTTCTGACGATTCAAATTGAAAGAGTAGATTTATGTTTTTTGTTTAATTTCAAAATGTTATATGGTGCATAAAAGTAGAATAATGACGTCATCACATGTAACTCCAAAATTGAGGAAATTTAATTTGATAACCAAAATATTTTTGAATCATACAAGAAATGACTTCAGAATATTATAAAAAAAATGGGTATATGTATTACATAAATATATATAGGGTAAATGAGGAGGTGGTGAATTTGATTATGTCCTCTGCTTTCAATTCTAGCCAACTAGAAACTGAATGAAACTTTTAACGATAATGAGTATCTTTAGGCATATGTCAATCTTAATTGTCAACATGAAAAATCCTCTTGATTTGCAAGACTTACTAGCCAACTAGAACTAAAATCAGCTGCCAGTAGTGTGATAATTTAAAACATACCATTTTATCCTGGTCAGACATCATAATTCCCTATTTTGCATTGCCACAGGAGACACAAAATTAATTTTGTTTGCCTTCATTTTCCTACATGTACATGTACACAGAAAATATGGCACAACCTATATAATTATAGCTACTTTAAATAATTTTGCTAGTGTTTTAAATTTATTGTTCATTTATTTTTTTGTATGTTTTTTATATTATCAGGTATGATTCATGCAGGCATAGGAGAAACACAGCTGAATAATTTGCTAGCTGCCATGAATGTCCATTGTCCTCATCATAAGTCACTAAAGTCAAGAGAAAATGAAGTTGGAGGCATAATAGAGTGTCAGGCAAATGCTTCAGAAAGGAAGTTTTTACTTGACGAAGCTTTCCAGTCCATGACCATTGATGCAGGTTTAAATGAGAATTAAATATAATAATTTTATAACAAAAATAGGCCTGATCCTGTCATTTGCATATACATGTACATTGTACATACAATGGCACACATATTTTACAAATGTCATTTTATATATTGGCATGTATATGTTAATGCCTAAAATATGTGTTAAACTGCAGTCAAATTTGTAAAGGTGGTAATCCAATTCTTGCAATATAAATATTATATACATAGATGTTTAGTAATTGGTTGTTGCATGTACATGGGAGAAACCTACCCTTATATCTTGTCAGTTTGAGCTTCTTTTTTATCCAACTCAGAGCAACATATCTTCAAAGATTATTAGATACAGTTCAAAAGGAAATAATCCTTTAATATTTTTTTATTGTCTCCCCTATTAACTTTTCTCTTCCATGTGCATGCAACAACTATTCATTGTTCTATTGTGTTGTAATTTATTTCATTATTATTTCATTGTCATAAGAAAAATCATTGTAATAATGGTATGAAATTTAAAATCTGCTAGGCTCCATAATTAGATTATTAAAGTACTTCTATTTCTATACCTTTTCAGCTCACCTGGCCCAATAGGGCCAAGTGAGGTTTTCTCATCACTTGGCGTCCGTCGTCGTCCGTTAACTTTTACAAAAATCTTCTCCTCTGAAACTACTGGGCCAAATAAAACCAAACTTGGCCTAAATCATCCTTAGGGTATTTAGTTTATAAAAAGTATCCGATGACCCTGCCCATCAATCAAGAAAGCCGCCATGGCTAAAAATAGAACATGGGGGTAAAATGTAGTTTTTAGTTTATATCTCTGACACTAAAGCATATAGAGCAAATCTGACATGGGGTAAAAATGTTCATCAGGTGAAGATCTATCTATGCTGAAATTTCAGACGCATCAGACAACCTGTTGTTGGGTTGCTGCCCCTGAATTGGTAATTTTAAGGAAATTTTGCAGTTTTTGGTTATTATCTTGAATGTTATAATAGATAGAGATAAACTGTAAACAGCAAAAATGTTCAGCAAAGTAAGCTCTACAAATAAGTTTACCCCTTCAGGAGTTATTGCCCTTTAAAGTAAATTTTTCACAATTTTTTGTAAATTTTTGTAATCTTTTACTTAAATCTTCTCCTCTGAAACTGCTGGACCAAATTCATTATTGATAGAGATAACTGTTAACAGCAAATGTTCAGTAAAGTAAGATCTACAAATAAGTCAACATGACCAAAATTGTCAATTGACCCCTTAAGGAGTTACTGACTCTGAAACTAAAGCAAAAGTATAATGGTTGCATTATTTCATGCATCAATTGTAAACAAAAATATCAGGTGAGCGACACAGAGTCCTTGGAGCCTCTAGTTATATATATACCTAAATCTTAGTGTCACTATCACCTTAATTTCATGGTTGAGTTTTGTGTTTAGGTTTATTTCTGTGAAAACATTTCATAATAAATAAATGATAATTCTCAGCTACAGTCCTCATGTATAAAGGACAATTAAGCTCTACAACACTTGGGCCACTTTAAGTGACTGTAGTTAAGTTTTACCTTTTGGTTCATGTTTTTAGGGCTGGAGATCTGTTTTTGAATACATATTTTCTGGTTACTGTATTATGAATTTAATCTTTTTTTTCAGAAGGTAATGAACAAGCAGGTATTAATGCATCCACAGACACTTGTTGGCAGAAGAAAGGTTCTGGAAGGGCTTACAATAGTTTGTCAGGTACATATAAAATCATAGTGCATTATAAAAACAAACCAAAAAAATGTACCTGCATTAAAGGCAAGTGTACAAATATTCAAATATTTAAAAAAAAATCATACTAAATGCTCATCTTGGTATGACTGCAGATGTCAAAAACTTAACAGTTGGGGCAAGTATGGACACCAAATTTAAGCTTTGTACAGCTCTGAACTTGGATTGTGATTAAATATTTGACTCAGCATAGGTTTCTGACACAGAATGAATGTGGTCTAAGATCTGAAAAAAAAAATTGGACTTTTCAAGTGGTAATTCCCTTCTTTTAATCTATGTTATCAAATATGAATCTACTTGAAATGAAATTTCTATTAATTGTGCAATTCAGCTCTGATTCTGGATTGTGATTAAATACTTGACATAGCATAGGTTCTGACACAGAGTGAAAATAGTCAGTCATTTACCTATTATCATGATTATGGTCCATTTATATAAAAGATCTAACTACATGGTTTGATTCAGCAAATGAAAGAACCAAAAGATTTCAATAATGGATGAATTCAAACTGAGTGTATTTTAGGACCTAAATACGGACAAGTTTTATAACTGGGCACAACTCCAAAATATGAATACAGGGTAATAATCAGCTTATCATAGAACCCCATAAATTGTATTTGTTGTAATCAATCAATGTTTTATTTTGGACCCTTTGGACCTTAATGTGGACCAATTACAAAACAGGGCAGAAAAATCATAAAATCTAAAAATACACAGATTAGGCATATCAAAAAAAATCAAGAACTAAATATTTGTTGAAATCAAAGTTTATGTTTGGACCCTTTGGACCTTAATGTGGACTTATTTGAAAACTGGCCCCAAGATAAAAAAATCTGAATACATATGAGAATCACCACATAAAAGAACCCAAAAAAATCTATATTTCTTAAGAAATCAAACAAAGTTAAATTGGATCCGTTGGACCTCAATGTGTACCAATTTACACACGGGATCACAATCTAAAATATAAATACACAGTTAGATTCTTTCTATTAAACAACCCCAAGTTTTTAAGACTTAAAATTAAACCCCATGGAAATAGGTCAGGAAATAAGCAATTTATACAAAGTATCAGAAAAGTATTGTTTTTGGCCTTATTCCCTAAAATGTTAGGGCCATAAACCTCAAAATCAATCCCAACCTTTCTTTTAGCTCACTGGGGCCCGAAGGGCCCCATGTGAGCTTATGCCATCACTTGGCGTCCGTCGTCGTCTGTCGTCGTAAACTATTTCAAAAATCTTCTCCTCTGAAACTACTGGGCCAAATACCTTCAAACTTTAACTAAATGTTCCTTAGGGAATCTAGTTTATAAATTGTATCCGAAGTTTTGATCCATCGACAAACATGGCCGCCATGGCTAAAAATAGAACATAGGGGTCAAATGCAGTTTTTGGCTTATATCTCAAAAAACGAAAGCTTTTAGAGCAAATCTGACATGGGTAAAATGGTTCAATTGGTCAAGATCTATCAGCTCTGAAATTTTCAGACGAATCGAACAACCCATTGTTGGGTTGCTGCCACCGAATTGGTAGTTTTAACAAAATTTTGCAGTTTTTTGTTATTATTTTGAATATTATTATAGATATATATAAACTGTAAGCAGCAGTAATGTTCAGCAAAGTAAGATCTACAAAAAAGTTAATATGACCATAATTGTCAATTGACCCCTTAAGGAGTTATTGCCCTTTAAAGACAATTTTACACAATTTGTTCATCAAGTTTGCTAACATTTAAAAATCTTCTCCTCTGAAATACAGGTGAGCAATTCCGGCTCTTGAGAGCCTCTTGTTTGGTATGGATCCTTGTGGTACAATTTCAAAGAGATCCATAGACTTATACTCAAGTAATTGTCAGGCAACCAGAACATCCTAGTTTGTTTGCACCATTTGGTCCCTTATTCCTAAATGGTTTAGGCCATTTCCCACAAAATAAATCCCAACATTCCTTTTGATGTATGGAACCATGTGGTACAATTTCATAAAGATTCTTACACTTATACACAAGATATTGTCCCAAAACAAGAAAAATGCTTGTTTTTGGCTCCTTTTTGTGTTCCATTCTAAACTTTGCAGCTGTAGATCGTGTATTTTACTATCTCAAAGTAAGTTTACCTTATGACTAATGCAATACTCAACGAAATATATTGTTTCTGTCTTTTATTCCGACAAAAAGTGGCTTTTACAAAAATTAGACAAAATTAGGTTGACGCCTTCATCATAGGATTAAACACATTTTTCTAGAGTTTGTGAGTAAGAGCCCCAGTTTACACATCAATAACCTCTAGAAAAAATGTGTTTAATCCTTATAATTCTTAAGCCAAATTTGTTTTTTAATCTCAATTTGCTGAAAATCACGGGATCCCTGCATGCATGTGTATCGTGCATGAATTGATTATGAAATTAGATTCGGAAACCAAGAGAAAAATTCTAATTGACCAATCCAATTCAAGTATTTATAGATATGCAAATCATTTAAGAATTATTACACAATCAATTTGAATTACTAGTATAGCAACATGATGACTCCATATTTACACTTACCTGCATTAGCATATACATTTAACTTTTCAGGTGTGGCATCACTGATAGGGGAAAAAACAGGGAAAATTGTGCATCACACCCTCAGAATATCCATCTGCCGTATATGTCGGAATGCACAAAAGAAGGGAAGACCACCTATACCACACAATTGTAAAAAAAACTGGTCAGGGACAGCAAAGGGCATGGAACCAGACATGGTAGTACAGTTGGTGAAGGATGTACATGAACAAAATATTGAAATTAATGAACTGGCAGGTGATGATGATTCTGTTGGGTTTGACAGGGCAAAGAAACTTCTTCCAAATTCTAAAATGGTAAAAACCAGTGATAGAAATCATATAATCATAAATATCACCAACAAGCTGTACAGCCTAAAACCAAAGCAAAAGGAGTTGACGCCAATGGTAATAAATGCAATTACCAAGAATTATTTCTACATGTTGGCACAAAACCAAGGCAGTCCAGAAAAAATTGAAAAAGGAGTCAGAGGGATGATTGACCATATGTATGGGAAACACCAAACCTGTGATATGAAATGGTGTGGTTATCTAAAAGACAGAACATCATACAGGCACACAAACTTACCCTTCGGAAAGGACTTGACATCTGAAAGCCTCAAAGCTGATCTAGAGAAATTGTTTCTGGGAAAAATTGAAAGCCAATCAAAGAAACTGTCAAAACTTGCTAGTTCCCAAGCAAATGAAAGCTTTAACCATACAGTCTCAACCAAAGCAGCAAAAAATAAGCATTATTCTGGTTCCTCAAGTTTAAATTATCGTGTCAGTGCAGCAGTCTTACAAAAAAATGAGGGATATGGTTATGTGTCAAAGGTAATATTTGCAAATTATACTTTTATGGTTTTTTTCAAAAAAAAATATTCTGATCCCAAGTTTGATGAAAAAAATATTCTGTTCAAGCAGATGACAAAAAAATATTCTGAATCCAGATTTCCCCATTAACTTATAGTGTTAAGTTTTGAAGAAAACAAAGTTTGATTATTAGCGTCAAAAAGTAAATAAAATTGCTTTGCATGAAAAATATTTTATGACTCAAACAACAGACCATAACCCCCCTTGAAGTTCAATGGTTGCTCCCTAATTTTTCAAAACAAAATAAGGGAAATTTGTTATTTCACTACAAATGTATACAAAAAGTATATTTTAAAGGTGAAGTATAATTTTAAGAAATAAAATTGAGAATTGAAATGGGGAATGTGTTAAACAGACAGCAAACCTAACCAAAGCAGAAAACAGCCAAAGTCCATTAATGGGTCTTCAACACAGCAAGAAAATCTTGCATCCTTGTTCCTTCTTCATTATTTTTGTAGTTTTATAGGGTATAAAAGCCTAAAGTGCTTCATGTAAAATGTGCTTTGATCAATGCTTTTACATCAAAATAAAACTTGGCAACAAAAAGGAACAGTCATTTCTTAAATAACTGTTAAGACCATCCTCATATTGAATTTATACATGTTGTTATTTATTTTTTTTTAAGGTTAGTGAAGCAGCTGGATTGTCACCTGGGAATGAGACTATCAAGAGGGCTATACGATTGAATAGAAAGAGGAATAAAAAATCTGAAAGAGCCAAAACAAAGCAGCACAAAAAAAGAAGAATCAATCTAAAAAAAGAAAGATCAGGAAAAAGTACCGGTGTTGAAATAAGAGAAGGAAGAACTTATGAAAGTGAAATAGGTACATCCTTAACTTTTTAAATTGTCTTAGAATTTAAACTTTGACTTCATTTAACTTATTGCAAATTTAACCAAAGTATGATTTTTAAACTTTCTCTGTCTTTCTTACTTATAATTGATTAGCGGAGGGCCCTTTTTTGGTCTGTAAGATTGATGCATGACATGCAATAAGGATTATCAAAGTTATAAAATAGAACATACTTTAAACATTTGATGTTTCATTTACTTTTGTACAAACACATTTTACACCATATATAACAATTAAAATCTGCAATTTTGTTTTTACAAAACTTGATGTGTTATAGGAATGAACAATGAGAAGTTAGATGAAGAAATCCCTGCTCCAATGAATGCATCTTTATGTATACCGATAGATATTTCTACAGATCCACTGGTAGTCTTTGATTTAGAAACTACAAGCCTATGTAAGTCGTTAATATATAAATATATAGAAAAATTGTTCTCATATCGGCCCGGGTATCATCCCGAGACCCCCATAGCAGCCTGAGACGTAGTCGAGGTGCTGATATGGGTCGAGGGATGATACCTGGGCCGATATGGAAAAGGCCATGTATTAATCTCTTTATCATATACTTCCGACAATTGTTTTATGTAAAGGCAAATAAACAAATAAAAGAACTAAAACAGTCAAAAACTTTATAAAGAAGTTAAATTATGAATCCAACAAATACACTATCATTGTCCAACAATAGCATCACTACCTCCATATATATTTATGTTACCATTTCCTATAGAGGCATTTTGAAACATTGAAATTTTGGAAGCAAAGAAGTTTTTACAGTTTTATGATCATTATTACTACATGTTGTACTATGAGATGATTCATAATTGTCATTATGGCATTTGTTAGCAAGTACTTATAACTATCATCATATTGAGAATCTATATCATTGGATTTAGCCATGTTAACATCTGTTTTTCAATAACAGGTGGTTCTGTACAAACGAATTTACCACTGGATCCAATACACCTTATCGCTATTTGTGCGCCATTACTGGACATCACAAAAGTTCGCGTAAAATTTTGATGTCATAATAAAAAATATCTGACGCCACAATGGAAAAGTAAACAGACGATAACAGAAATACTGGAAGTAACTTGCACGAGAGGCCCCTGATATGGGTTAAAAGCCCGGGTGGGAAATTATGGCTTGTGTACATCCGTTCATTACACATATGCAAAAGCTATCATATTAATGCTAATTATATGATAAAATAAATTATATGAAAACTTTATATGCTTATATAAATTGTATATTGGTTATTGCACATGGAACCAGCTTTTCATTCTTCTTTTTAAAGTAGTACTATTATATATATATATATTACTCAAATATTAAAGTTAGAGATAAATGTATATCACAGCAGGAAAATTGCCCGTACAAATTTCTTAAAACTGTTTACATAAAAAATGGAGATGTGGTATGATTGCCAATGAGACTGTATCCCCCCAAAGTTAAAATGAAGTGAAAGTAGGCAATTATAGGCAATCATACAGACTTCAACAATGAAAATCATAAACCTATATCACACAGGAGGCTTTAACAGACCCTCACATGAAAAACTAAAAAAGAAAAGTGAACATTAGATATTGTAAACACAATATTAGAATAATAAATCATGAAAAAAATAATTAGTTTTTTTCTTTTCCTTTTCGGTTCATTTTGGTGATAAGATTAACCCATACATTGCTAAAACTATTGAATTAGCAGGTAACATATTTTGTATTTATTGAGAAATATTGAAATAAGAAAAACTAAACTAATTTTTTTTTTCTAGATAGAACCTCAGATGTAATACAGATTGATGCAACTTCAAACAATAATGAATTTAGCAGTTACATCTTTCCAAACCAACCTATCTCAATACAGGCCTCCGAAATTACAAAAATTACCGTTTCTGCAAATCAGATGTTTTATAATTTACAACCTGTTTCTTACAAATTACCACATGAAGCTCTCACTGATTTTATAACATTTCTTTCCAAATATCCATCCAAGCCAGTTCTTGTAGGACACAACATCAAACGCTTTGATTGCCATGTTTTGTACCATTCTTTAAAGGCAAATCAGATGTGGAATGAGTTTTCATCTCACATATGTGGATTCATAGACACCATGGAGTTATTCAAGAAAATAATGCCAGGATTACCATCATATTCTCAAACTTCATTGGTGTCACAACTTCTTGGTGAAAACTATTGTGCACACAATGCAGTTGATGACACTAGAGCATTGTTTAAATTATTAACCTCAAAAGCCTTAAACAATCTGGATTCATTTGTATTTCCTGCAAGTCATCCTTATGATTGTATAGTCCAGAAAGACAATCTTAAGTCTTATAATGAAGCCATTGCTTGTAAAGCAATTACACGAGCGACTGCTTTGAAGGCTTCTAAATCAAACTTAAAGCTCTCTCATCTTAAACTTTCTGTTGAGAGAATGGGACTAGAAGGATTAAAAGCTTTATTGTCTGAAAAAAACTGACAGGAAATGTTCGAGTCACAAATTGCATGAAGGTCATTCGAAAAGTATTTGACTTCCTTACTCCTGAAAGCTAGTTGATAATTCTTTGTTTTTATACTGAATTATATATTATTTCTTTTCAGCTAACCTTGTGGGCAATTGCCATCACTAGTCATCAATTGTCTGTAAACATTATTTTTTATCTCCTGATTGAGGAATAGTGAACAGAATTTTATCAAACTTTGCAGATAAATTATTTCTATCAATTAATGTCCTTTTTAATTGTTGAAGATTAGGTGACAATTGGTAAAGATAGATAGCCATGCATCCTGTCTGAATGTAAATTGTCATTGGTTAATCTTGATTGAAACCTTCTTCTCAAGAAATCCTGTAGGGATTGAAACAAAACATAGTACATTTATTTATTTTCCGATCAAGGTATTGAACAAGTGGTGTTATCTTATTGCCAATCAAAATAAGAGCCAGCAAAGATCACTAGTTTACATAAAAACTAAATGTCAATTTACATGTTGCTTTATATTTTAACTACAAATGATATTAAGTGACAAACTTTGTAAGATGATCAGTTCGAGCTACTAGCTTTGGTTCTAGGAAGGAACTTTAAGGATCAGTTCAGTACACATTTCAATGATTATTTATTTGATAACAGCATTATAGATTGAATTAAAAAAAAAGTAGATATATATTTATTTCAAGGTCCTAAACAAGTGTTTTGATCGTGGTAGAAATTCAAAATGGCCATCAGTGAAGTTAAAAGCTTATTGATAGAAACCCAATGGGAGATATTTATTTCTGGTAGTATTTTTGTCAATGAGAAAAATAATCTTTACCAGATGCATTGCAAAATGATATCACTCATTACTGGTACAGTCTAATTGTATCCAATTATGTTTCTTTGGCAAATGAAGTATCTTACCTTTTGCCTTGTATTATTTTAAGGAATAAATTATGTCTTTAATTTATCTTACAAGATAAGAATTAGTATTCTGAAGGAAATGTAAAAAAAAAAGGTGGTATTTGCATAAAATGCCTGGCAGAACAGGATAATTACACTCCCTATTGCACTGTGAAATGTCTTGTTATATGAATGAAATAAGTGCCACAAATCAAACCATGCTTTTAAACAATTTCTTTGATTAATTAATGTTGGATTTAATGTTAAATGGATCAGTTAATATATGGGACCATAAATATGTCCATAAATAAATACTTATATCACCTATACTGCAAGTTGTTATTTGTATTTTATGTAGAAACAAAGATTATATTTGTTTATGCCCCACCACAAATGTGGATGGGATATGAAATAGATTAACCCTTGACCATCCATTCTTTTATCATCAGAAGCCTGGTTTATGTACAGAACAATAAATGAAAATGAAAGATACATACAGCAACAAACCACAAACACTGAACTACAGACTACTTGGGACAGACACAGACTACATCTTAATCTAAACCATTGACTCTTTAATAGAAAACAACCAAATATGACATATAAGTCTGGAAGTCTCCAAGGAAACATAATTCAAAATACATTATGCACCTATTTTATTTTTTGATGGAACTATAATGATGTTCAAGGTTTCCCATGTCAAACTTGGAGGAAAAGTGGAGGATTCATTTTTTAGGTATCTAATTATCTAGTTGACTAGTTCATTTTGTTACATAATGTGCCCTATAGGCATTAGACAGAGGCGGATTTAAGGGGGGCAGGGGCCCCAGATCCCCCCTTTTTTGGGAAAAATTTGGTTGATTATATAGGCAGTCAGTGGGCCCCCACTTATGAAAATTTCTGGATCCGCCAGTGTTAGATCTATAAAGGAACATTTTTCCCAGTGCGTTATAATCTATATAATCTTGGTACTTTTCCTTCAAAATCATCTAGAATGTTCCCTACAATATAAGTCTGACTATTCTAACAATAGTGACTTTGATAACTGAATTCGACAATCATTGAGTATCTGGATGGGGTCTACAGCATAGAGAATAATGGATAAAAAGAGCAGATTAAATTAAGGCCAAAACATATAAAGAATAGAGAAAATCGCCAAAAAAAATAGAAAATAAAGGAGTGCTTAAATTTAGGAATAGAGAATAATGACATAAAGATTTAAAGAATACAAAATAGAAGGTTGAAGGACCCCCTTTCCAGACCCTCATCATTCAGGTCCGCCTTCCACTTAAATCTTGTTTTACATTTTGTTTCATTATGTATGACAGTTAATAATATGTAAAATTTGATTTAACTTAGCGAATGATCACATAAAAATTTCATCAAAACTTTCAAAAATAACATAAATTTATCATTTTCATGAACACCATGACCTTAACCTTTCACCTTACGAATTTACCAAATGACCTAAACTTCAATGTTGGCCTGCACATCACTTAGGGGTACTGTAAACCATATACAGATTTTCATTTCATATAGTTTAGGCCAAAAAACGGGAGAAAAAGTGTTTTTTTTTCAAAAATTATCTTTATTGGTTGCCATGGTTTCACACTTTTGGTGATCTATCTCTCTTAGAAGGTCGGTGACCCCCACTTTTTTTTTGCTTTTTCTGAACTTCACTTCCAACTCTCTTAGAATGGAAAGTATAATAGAAATCTGTAATTTTGATTTAACTTAGCGAATGATCTCATAAAAATTCATCAAAACTTTCAAAAATAACATAAATTTATCATGTTCATGAACACCATAACCTTAACCTATGACCTTACGAATTTACCAAAATGACCTAAAATTCAATGTTGGCCTGCATATCACTTAGGGGTACTGTTAACCATAACCAGATTTTCATTTCATATAGTTTATGCCAACATACGGGAGAAAAAGTTGATTTTTTTTCAAAAATAACCTTTTTTGGTTGCCATGGTTTCACACTTTTGGTGGTCTACCTCTCTTAAAAGGTCGGTGACCCCCACTTTTTTTTTGCTTTTTCTGAACTTCACTACCAACTCTCTTAGAATGGAAAGTATAATAGAAATCTGTAATTTTGTTCTCTCAGTAGGTTAAGATAAAGGCAACGCAGGTGCAATTTTCCCTATTAGTCTTTGTAAAAATTGTACGATTTATGAGGGGAAAACCTATTTTTTTAACAGTCTGTAACTTGCTTAGATGGTCGGTGACCCCCTATTTTTTTTGCATTTTTTTAATCCATATGTTAAGAGGTTTCAATCAACAAATTATAAGGAAAAACTGTAATTTAAATTTTATACCCTCGAGCCTCCTTAACACATCAATAAATAGTCTTAGTTTTGCTGATGATCTTTTAATATTATCAGAATCACAAAACGGTTAACAATCTGCTTTGAATAAACTGGAAAAATATTGCTACAAATGGCAACTGACTGTAAATACAAATAAAACAAAAATATGATTTTTCATTCTAGAGATTCTTTTGAGTCAAAATTTTTTTATAAACAAAATCAGTTAACTGAAGTTAAAGAGTATAATTTTCTTGGGAACGTTATTGATGATAAAGGAAAATTTAAGAGATCTACACATGAACTATCCAAGAAAGCGCTTAAAGCGTTATTTTCATTAAAAAAATATATGTCTAATTTTCATCATGTCCCTGTTGATTTATCATGTAAATTATTTGATTCACTAATTAAACCGATAATTTTATATAATAGCGAGATCTGGTTTATGGAAGATTATTACTCAATTTTTAGAGCCATAAATAGAGCCACTTTGCATGGAACTAACTGTGATATTTTATCATTGACAGATAGATTCAGCTTTGAGAAAGTGCATCATAAATTTTGTAAAACTGTTCTTGGAATTAAAAAAAACTCATGTAATATAGCTGCAAAGTCTGAGTTAGGACGATTTCCGCTTGACTCCTTTATTAAAACTCAAGTTTTATTATATTTTTGTAGAATAAACTGCCATGAAATAAACCCTCTTGTTAAAGAAGCTTTTGCAGTAAATAAGTCTATGTCTGAAGATGGAATATATACTTGGTATACTTTTGCCAAGAATATTTTTAAAAAATTTAATATTGATGAAGAAGAATATGAAGATTTTGATAAACCTTTTAAACTTATAAAAAATTCACTCAAAAAAACTTTTAAACATATTGTGAAGGAAAAGTATAATAACATCACTTTTTAAAAACTTTCAAATATTGATAACAGTTCAAAACTTTATCTTTATAGTAAACTTAAAAATGAAATTAAATTGGAGGACTACTTGCACAATCTAAACAATTTTAATAGTCGTCAACTTTTAACAAAATTACGTGTAAGTGATCATAATTTGGAAATTGAATTAGGACGTTATAAAAAAATTCAAAGAGAACACAGACTGTGCAAAGTTTGTAAAATTTTAGATGATGAGGAACACTTTTTCCTTCATTGCCAAATTAACAGTAATGTAAGACATTCCCTTATAAATGCAATTAAAACCCATTATCCTAATTTTAACCAGCTTGACTCAAACTCTAAACTTAAAACTATTCTAGATCCCAATAAAGATATTTTGTCTAGTGTTGTAGACTATATAAAGCAATCTATGGAATTGCGAAAATAAGGTCCACATTGGTCAATTATTATATATATATATATTATTAATATCAACTTGACTTGTTTAAAACATTTATCATGTATTATGTTTCTTGTCACTTGTGTATACAATGTACTATGTTTGAATTTTAACCCGCCAGGGTTTCATGTTTTGCAATAAAGTTATTATATATAATAATATACCTGAATAAATATCTTGGGACCAGTTAATTAGTTTATAATTTAAAACAATATTTGGCCTGACTTTGAATTAGTCCCGGTTTATTTTTTAATCAAATGCGGGACAAGCACGAGAAAATAAGAGTACCGACACGAAACACGGAAAATAATTATGGGAAAACACGAAGCACGCACATTGAACCAAACACGAGAAAACGAGAAATAAAACGTCGAAATACGGAAACACGTGAAATAAAAAGGCCGAAAACGCTGCACGAAAATAACCCTTTACCACCCTCTAAATAGGCCATACTAGATGTCGGCACCTCATATCAGAACTTAAGTAGATGGTCAATTTCGTTTGCAAGGTTAAAGAAATCTTCAACTTGCTCTAATTTGCCTGTGAAGACCATAAAACCGTCATCCCTATTGACAGTGTAATTTGATGTTTTCTCTCCATTGGAACTTATCTAAGATTTTAATGAATAGGGCAGACATATGCAGATCTGTGCATGTTAGTGACAATGGGCGCTCCTATAATGTGTTTGTATAACAGTCCATTAAACTCAAATTCATTGTTTCTAAGAATTAATTTAACAAATGCAGTTAAATCTATTTTGTTGTGAATCTTTAAAGTATATTCTCCTGTGTGTCAATAAATTTTAATGCGTCGATAACAGTTTCTTCTAAATTATCAATGATCATATTTGTGTACATTGACGTACATCATAGGCAATACGAATGCATACTTTTTTTTACCTCGTGTGACTCTATTTTATTAATGATTTTTTGTATCTTGAATGTAATAGTTATGCCTCTTCAATAATTGGATGTTGGACGTGTACTAATTGATAATTTAGTCTTAGATGCATGACTTTTTTAATTAGTTGTTAGTGGCTTTGAACTAGCTGTCAGTAACTGCGAGTACTCTCAGATCTGTACTTAGTGTCTATTTGTTGTTGGGATATACAAGTACCCGGCCACGTCCACTCTGTGTAGTATTTCTGTTTGTATCCATCTGATGAGTTAAGCCTTTTTCAACTGCTTTTTATAGTTCGTTCTTATGTTGTACTGTTACACCACTGTCCCAGGTCAGGGGGAGGGTTGGGATCCCGCTAACATGTTTAACCCTGCCACATTCTGTATGTATGTGCCTGTCCAAAGTCAGGAGCCTGTAATTCAGTGGTTGTCGTTTGTTGATGTGTTACATATTTGTTTTTCGTTCATTTTTTGTACATAAATTAGGCCGTTAGTTTTCTCGTTTGAATTGTTTTACATTTGTCATTTCGGGGTCTTTTATAGCTGACTATGCGGTATGGGCTTTGCTCATTGTTGAAGGCCGTACGTTGACCTAAAGTTGTTAATTTCTTTGTCATTTGGTCTCTTGTGGAGTATTGTCTTATTGGCAATCATACCACATTCTTCTGACCAGTTCGCAACGCCTCATTACTTATTTCTAGATTAATTTTATGAATTTTTGGAAGAAAGTACATGTGTCCTCCATGTTTTGAATTATTATTATTCTTTAAGAA